GCTCGAGACTGGGCAGGCGAACGCGATGCCGATGACGTAGAGCAGCACCCCGGCCAGATTGGCCCCCACTCGTCCGCGATGCGGATCGGTGTTCCTGATCACACTCTCGACGATCTCCCCTTCGGTAGCAATCATGCCCGGCGCGGACAGCTCGGCAACACACGCAGACAACAACTCATCTTGCATACTGATACGACGCAATCCAGAGCAATTTTTGGCACGATTCTTAGCACTCATAGCAGTCATCTCATGCTGATCCAGCCGCAGGGACGCGCACAAATATGATGTTCCGTCAACGCGGACTCTCGGAGGCTGCACAAAGGTTGCTACTCGATCGAACTCTTCAGCCTCAACAGAATGCACGGCCACATGATCTTCTATACGCCTCCAGGACTGGGTGTCCTTGGTGCGGCCCACAGCACTCTTCTTCCAAGAACGCCATGCCGGTGGGAACTTGATCTAGGTGTTGAACGGACCAATCTTGCAGTTCACACGCACTAACTTCTCGGTGCCCCGCTCGTCTGCGCGGCCAGTCGATCCCTCTGATGGGAACGATCGAGGGTCAACGTACGTGATGAAGTTCCTCCTCTTGCCCTGCTTCTTGGCCTGCTCGAAGAGCGAATTTAGCTGCTCTGCGCCAACTGCTATCGGATCGAAGTCCACGACTGGGTCTCCGGCCCGATCACCACCCACCGCGGCCAGGACCCTCTCGACAGGAGAAGTCGGGGATCCTGAACGAGCAGCACGAGTCTTGTTCGACTCGTCGTCAGTGCTGGCGGCTACAGTAGTCGCCGGAGGCGGTGGTGGTGGCGGCAGCGGCTCTACCCTGCGAGGCGGCTCTCCGGTGGCGGAGGTGGCAGGGGGGTTAGGCGCGCAGGCGGCGGTCCGTCCGGCTGCCCCGGCACCAGGACAGCTGGCCTGTGCTCGGGCGGCGGCATCATAGGTAGCACCCCAGGAGGGCGAACGATTGTGCCCAGCCAGCGACAGACCCGTCACTTTGCTGGCGCTGCTCACGCGGGCCGTCTCCTGCGGCACGTCGTCGCCATCGCCCTGCGAATCTCGCGTTTGATGCGAGGGGAATGTCGCAGCGGCAGAAGACGATGCGGCGACAGGTGGCGGCGGCGCAGCAGAGGAAGAACAACCTCCAACAGATTTGGGTAGAATACCAGTCTCTGCATCCTCACGAGCAATACGTACAAATCGCATATAATATGCAGGCGTCCTGTTGCCCCCGTGACAGACCTTCAAATGGAATTGCAGCTCTTCCCCAGCATATCGCCTCATCATGACGTACCCGCCAGACCGTTAAGATGTGCCCACGGATGACAGTGGCCACGTCGTTGTCGTCTACTCCGTCAACCACACTCGATGAAGCGCGAGGCCTCCTCCTCCCCCCTGGCCAGCTCGGGGTCTGCGCTTTGCAGATGGCTCGGGAACTGGAGGCGGCGGCGCACTGAACTTCTCGAAAGATTCAATAAAGAGCCAAACCATCTTGTCAGTCGCAGCACGCACCATCTCACGGCCCCAATCGGATACGTGACAGCAGTCATCGCATTCCCCGTTGCACGCACGCTGGGACCACTCATGGCGGCTCAGGCACGCAGAACTGCATTCGATGTCACACTGCTTCAAGAACCGCTTGATACCATAACTGACTGCAACAGAGCGATGCCGTTCAGAACGACACATGGCAACAAGACACACGGACTGCGAAGACTCGATATTCCCCACACACTCAGCGACGCCAAGAAAAATGTGCATGCATTCCCAAAAGAATTGCCCAGGATGTTCGGGCGATGCCCGATGTGGAGCGCGTGAGTCGGCTCGTTCAAAGCTCTGGCGCCCACCAACACGCACCGATCAAAGTTCGCCATATTCTCATCTGCAGCAATGAGCGCATCTATGATGGCTTTGGCGTCGCGCCCTCTGGTGGTCATATCATGACTGGAGCGATGGTGACGGCGAATGTGCCCTCTCAGTATCGACGACGCCGAGCACCTCGGGTTTTTCTCGAAGTTCCCCAAACCCAGCGCGATCACGGCAAACTTCGAGCCCTGTGGTGCGGGGCGAGCACCAGCACCAGCAGCCGCGCCAGCGACCCGCACGTCCTCGTTGTCGTCTCACTCCCTGCCTGCCCTCCTGTGCCGCTGCACGTCTCACGCTGTCTGTGGACCCACTTAGGATAGAAACCCAATTTCTCACATGTCTCCCCTGCGTTAAGGCCCCATGCCTCACCGCGACAGCAAGACTTACAACCCTCGTCTAGAACAACCCAAACACCTTCATATTTGAAGACGTCAACCGTACGAAGCTTAGAAAGCTGTAACTTCTGTCGAAACGCTCTGCGCTGGAGCCACCAAAAAAACAAGGCTGTGATGTGTGACTTCTGCGACACAGTCATGAAGCAACGAAGTTAGTTCACCTGTACTGATGTCACCTGTATCATTACAAAATCATCAGCACGTTTGTTGAACGCCTTCAGTACAAGTTTTAACTCTACAGAGGTGATACGGCGATCATCCTCGATAATACTCTCGTTTGCTTCTGCTTGTATGATGCTGGAGCGTTCAGCTTTATTTGCTGCTGCTGCCCTGTCTTCTGCTGGCTTCCTGGGCTGCTCATCCATATACGTCAAACAACGACAACAATACGCACGAACGACACCTTGAGCACTGCCACGGTTATCTACAAGATCGCGCGGACACTCACCCAGGGAGCACAGCGCCGCGCCCCTCTCCGCCTTGGCCTTGCGACCGCAATCCATGCGGTCGCGGACAACGAGACGAGCGCTAGAACCAACTCCTAGGAAATTCTTACACCCTCGAGCACATGGACGAAGCAACGGGGGACCTGGAGGCCCCCTGTTCAAGCCGGAAGAAGAGCATGACGAAGGCAAATTTGCCACTGGAAATTTTCGGCCCCGAAACTCGCACAGACAGTCCGTCTTCCGTCCGAATAAAATTGCTATCGGCCCATCCTAAGAACAGAACCAGATCCTCGCTGGGTTTCTTCACTTTGCGACCCCGATCTACGTAGTCTGGAGTATTCCTGAGAACGCGATCATAGCTAAGCCCTCTGGGCTGACCCGAAGCGAACACTGCATCCTGACCAGGAACAGAGATTGGACTCGCAACAGATTCCTCCCCCTCAAACTCCCCATCAGAAACACTAGCCATAGAGTAAGATTCGGTCGAGCGAACTGCCATGAACCCTAAGTGCATCCCCTGTCTGCATCCGTAGAGGCCCGGACTCTTCCCCCGAAGCTCTGGAGGTCCGGGAACCGGAGTGGCTTCGGTCATTCCCATGCAACTCTCACAGACATGATGCTCAACGCGGTTGTGCTGCAAGCTACACTGTCCGCCACGACTCACCCCCTGATACACACCTGCATTGTGACACATGATGCGAGAAGAGAAAGAAGAGCGGATGCGAGAAACACCGGAATCTATCCTCATCGACTCCTCCTTGTCACAAATGATAGGATGAGGGATTGATGGTGATATAGCAACAGAACTGACAGACGTGAACTTTTGTTCGTCGTCGTCCTCGCGCAACTGGACACGGCGCTCGCTAGTGTCTCCAGCATACGCTACCATTGCCGCCCAGGGTTTGCCTTTGCATTCAGGGTCCCCGGACCAGTGGCCTGTTTCGCGGCAGGTCTTCCATTTCGAGCGTTTCTTGATCTCTTGGAGCCGCTTCTTTCGATCTTCCAGGGAAGGCCCCCCCTCGCCGCCTCCCTTAAGCGACCAGGGCGCGCAGTGGTAACACTTGCCCCCGCTCTTCCCCCTGCCTTTGCCCCTCCCCCGGCGCCAAGGTTGGCGACCAGGTAATCTTGGATCGCGCCAGAGGTTTCTTCCTCTGCATATCCAGCCTTGACCATCTCGTCGACCACCTCAACGACGAGCTCGCTGACTATCTTGGACAGGGGCCCAGTGAGCATACGATTCCTCGTCAACGTAGATGTGTTCGTCGGAGTAATCATCCCAGGCCGCGTCGCCCCAGCCGCGCTGTGGCGCGTAGCCAGACGCGTAATATCCGTCGGGGCTCAGCTCCTGAGGGTAATGCTCCTCCTGCGCGTACCATCCTTCATCAGCCCTGTAGAAGGCGCGTTGTGGCCTGGAGAAGCTCACTTTGCCCTTGCCCTTGTTCCTGTTATGGTAGCTGGGTCTGGGCTGCGCCCACGTCGAAGAGCTGGAGCCTTTACCGGACTCACGCTTGCCTTGTTTGGCGGATGTGTATACGGCCGTGCTGAAGGATCAAGACATCCTTGATCTTGTCGAAGGTTATCACATCTCCTGTGGGTGGCCATCAGGTTCTCCGAAGGCGAGAGACCTGCATGGTCCAGGAGAAGGGATCAAAATATATCGTCACTCATCAAGATCTTAGAATCCAACTTGGAGACAAGTTTCCACCAGCGCTTTCTCAGGAGATGTACGAGACCATAAGACTCACCGTGCTGCCGTGACAATGATCCATATGGTCTCTGCCCCACCTGGAACAGGATCTTCGCTTCCTGCGCCTCTATGGGGAAGAGTGAAGTACGAATCGCCAGCTCCAGCTGGTCAATCCCATTCGGACTCAGAAGCCCGTCCTTACCGATATCCATGGCAATATCGAATGCGTCACCTTTGAGGCCTGCTATAAGCCTGTTGACAGCTGCGGTGATCACGCGCTGCTGTGGTGCACCTGTCTCTTGATCCACTGAGACCAAGCGGCGCTCATGCGCATCTCTGTGCGGACTTCCCACTCGTGGAAGTTGTTCACCGTGCCGTCGTAGATGTAGGAACCACTCTTCGTCTCGGACCGAATCGGCGCGTCGGCGCTCGGCCGATAGCGAAGAGAAGAAAGTGCCATGGCGCAAGGCTCGGTCCCCTAGCGAGGGAAACTGCAAGTACGGAAAGTAAAGAGAGGTTGTGCTACACTCTCTGACGAGACGTGCGCGCAGTGGTACGATACGGGGATCGTGTGGTAGCTCCGCTACAAGTGTGATTATGATTCGTTTCAGCGCAATGGCAAAAAGGTGCCCCTAGAGGTCAAACGGCGGCGAGTGGCGGCGAGTGGTGCGTATTCACACGTCACGCATGCACTATCTCACTCTCATCATCGGCGGCAGCACAATCATCATCAGCGGCAGCAGCAGCAGTAGCATCATCATCGTCTTCATCATCATCATCATCATCATCATCATCATCATCATCATCATCATCATCATCATCATCATCATCATCATTTCATCATCATCATCATCACCATCATCATCATCATCATTATCATCATCATATCATCATCTATCATCATGCATTGGCAAGCACGCAGTATCATCAGACAAGCAGCAGCCGCGAGCAGCAGCATCAGCATCACAGCATCATCATCATCATCATCATCATCATCATCATCATCATCATCAGCATCAGCATCATCATCATCAGCAGCATCAGTATAGTCATCAGCATCATCAGCATCAGCATCATCATCATCATCATCATCATCATCAGCATCAGCATCATCATCATCATCATCATCATCATCATCATCATCATCAGCATCATCATCATCATCATCATCATCATCATCATCATAAGCATCACCATCATGATCATCATCATCACCGGAACCATCACCATCGTCATCGTCATCATCATCATCATCATCATCAGTATCAGTATCAGCATCATCAGCATCATCATCATCATCATCATCATCATCATCATCATCATCATCATCATCATCATCATCATCATCATCATCATCATCATCATCTTCTTGGACGTCTGAAATGGGGAAGGAACAAAAAAAACTAGGGACGATGCCCAACAGGGAATGCTGTCCAAACCCGACAGCGTCGCGTCTGCCGTTGGGCAGGCGGCCATCGTCTCGAGCGGACAACGCCTGCGGTGACACCAGCAGCGAATCCTGCCCGGAGTGGGCAGGCACTGCTGCCAGCCTTCTCGCCTCTGCCGTACCTGGGGAAACCAGAGCTACCAATACAGTACAGCTACTCCCCGGATCTCTCTCAGGGTGCGTTCTGACGAGGATTTCGCGGCAAATCCAGCCGAGGCGACGAGGGCCTCCCAGGAGGCCCAAAGGCAAAAACGAGGCAAGGATAGCTGTATCGGTGCCTTGTCCTCCCCTGCTCATCACCATCACTACCATCACCATCACCACTACTGCAATCACCATCATCATCATCATCATCATCATCATCATCATCATCATCATCATCATCATCATCATCATCATCATCATCATCATCATCGTCATCATGATCATGATCATCACCACTACCACCACCACCACCATCAACATCAGCAGCAGCAGCATCATCGTCATCATCATCATCAGCAGCATCATCATCATAATCATCATCATCATAATCACCATCATCATCATCACCATCACCATCATCATCATCATCATCATCATCATCATCATCGTCATCATCATCATCATCATCATCATCATCATCATCATCATCATCATCATCATCATCATCATCATCATCATAAGCATCACCATCACCATCAGCAGCACCATAGCATCGTCATCGTCATCGCCATCGCCATCATCATCATCAGCATCATCATCATCATCAGCATCATCATCATCATCATCATCATCATCATCATCATCATCATCATCATCATCATCATCATCATCATCCTACTCCCCCTCATCATCCTCCTCATCTTTATAGAGCAGCAGCATTATTGGAGAAGCTTGCAACCCCGCCCGGCCTTCTCGGCCTCGAGCTCCTCCTCCGCGGCCTGCGCGCGCGCTTCCAGCTCCAGGCGCTGCTCGACGAGCTCCTGCCTGCGCCTCTCGATGAGGTCCTGGGACGATGCCTCCACCTGGGCCCACATGCGATCTGCAAAATCGAAAGATGCCCAAACATCCTCTCGTCGTTAGGCAAGCACGACAAGCAAATTCTTGCCATGTTCGGCATCTGGGGGCCCTCGCCGGGACACGGGACCCTCAAAAAACGAGTCGGGATGAAGCGCCAATCCCGGGGAGGGTGTCGAAGACCTCTGGGGGTTCGCGTGGTGAAAAACAGGAGCACGACGTCGGAGGTATGGCGTCGAAGAGTGGCCACAAGAACGCGGATCAAATACATGAGCACCCTCGCCGGAGGCCCGAGGCCCCGAGCGAGGAGCATTCCGAGGTCAGGGGCCCAGACCTACGGACACAGGGATACCCTGAAGGGCTAGCTGTTCTCGACCCTCGTGCTAGGCATGACTTTTACCAAGCACGGGCGAGGGGTCAGAATCCAACCAGCCCAAGATGGCTCCAAAGATAGCTCCAGGACAACCCAGGTAACCTCCACGAGGCCTCCAAGATGCCCCAAGACCCACCCAAGACGGTTCCAAACTGCCACGGAGCCTCCCGAGGGTGCCCCCGAGACGACAAACATCCTTCCAAAACCAAACGACAACACGCAATGCGTTCACTCTCACGTTTGCTTCCAATGAGCTTCCGAGGCCTGAAGATGGCTCCACTTAGCCCAACAAAGCCCCAAGAGAGGCCAGTGAGGACTCCAAGGCCGCCCCAAAAAGCCAAAATCTGTCCCAAACCAAGGAGGACGAATTTGTGTGTTTTCGCTATTTCCCTTCCGACGGGCTTCTGGGGCCGGAAGATGGCTCCAAGATGGCTCAAGAGAGCCCCCAAAGGGCCCAGTAGGGCTCAAAGACGGCCCCAAGAGTGCCCAAAAGCGCCTCAAGAGTGCCCCAAGAGAGCCCCAACGATATCACAAGAAGCAGTTATCAAAACTTCAGAGGGGCAGGGCTGATCACGCCCCCCCCTCTTCCATCAATGGCCCTCCAAGAGGGCTCCAAAAGACCCGAAAGGCCTCCGAAATGGCCCCAAGAGAGCCCAAAGATGGCCCAAGTAAGCTGCTTCCTGCCATTCCCTGACCATTGCGACTCGCCCGGGCATCGTTCCTCGATAGGCAGGCAAGGATTCGCGAAGCGTCAAGAACTTCAAAGATGCCTGCAGCCAGGCACATCCTCTGCACGTGTGCACGGTGCCCTGGCGACGATTCGACCCGCATGGGTGGGGGTTCGCAAGTCCGTGACATCCGCCGATGTGACGTCTCCGATCCGTCGCCCCGCCCCTTCCCCAGGGCCAGGCTTACGCCCCGGATCAATTGCTGATGGTCCCGAAAGCCGAATCGAGAATAGAAACGCCCAGACTGAAAAAAACATATCGTCGGAGATCTGGGGAGGCCGCAAAGCGCCTCTGCCGCGCGGCGGAGCAGCTCGCGCTCAGCGCGGCAGTCGCCGCCCCCCGCGCAGAGGTCCTCGAGCCCCATCGCTCTGAATTAGGGAGCCACGTGCTCAGGGTGGCGGCAGCGGCGCGGGGTCCGCCACGGAGCTCAGGCCCCAAGATGCTCGGGGCAGACGGCGGCGGCAATGACGACGGAGACGACTACGACGGCGGCGATTACGACGACGACGACGACGACGACGACGACGACGACGACGACGACGACGACACGAACGACGACGACGACGACGAACGAACGTCCAACAACCAACGACCAATGACCAACCACCAATGACCAGCGACGAAAGATCAACAACTACGACGACTACGGAAACGACGACTGTGGCCAGAGCGGCGGAGGCAGCGACGGCAGTCGATGTTTTCGGAGCCCCCGTGCCCGAGATGCTCACGAATAGTAGGCTCCAGCACGGAATTCTCTGAGGCCGACTGATCACCTGCTGGACAAAACATTGGGGCCTGTGGACCTGAGGACGCCTGACAAGATTCCAGGATTCTGCGGAGTCCTGGGGGTGGGATTCTGGGCAGCCCTTGCGTCGTTCCGCCCGCCGACCAGAATCCGGCCAAAACGGGATCCCAGACCCCTTCCGAGGTCCATCCTGGCCAGTTTCTCGACCCGCGCCCCGTCGTGGCGACGAGGGCAGCTCCCGAAGACCAACAAACAAAAAGCGATGGCGACGAGGAGCTAGGCACCGTCGGCCTTCCCACGACAAAGGAGCGTTCCGTAAAACTGTTGCCTATTAGCCAGAGGTAATCACTGCAATTTGAACATCCAAGACATTGTTCCCCCCTCCTCGTCCTCACCATTATCCTCCGTTTCCTTTTCATTCCCTACCTCGCCATCTCCTCCTACACCCTGAGGTCTCACCTTCACCCCCCCCCTCACCCCTCTTCCTCCTCATCCTTTTCCTGCCTCACTCGCCGTCCCCTCCTGCCCATACCCTGTTCCCACCTTTTCCCACCTTCCTCCTCCTCCTCCTGCCTTTTTGACCAGTTTGGCAGCTCCGCCTCCATACAGGACACTCGTCCTGCGTGATTTGGCAGGGATCCCGCTCCCCTGAAATACAGCTTGAGTTCAGGAAATAAAAACCTCAGCATAATTACTCCGACGGTAGAACCCCGCATGAAAATCTTCCTAATGAATATGGAAGTGATTATCCCTGTCTGGTACCCGCCGGTCCTTGCCGACGCTTTCAAGCTTGAATGACGCCGGCCGTCTCGGAACACCAAGGACGCTCGACGAAGGAACGAGGTTCCCCCTCAAGACTTCTTCAGGGTTCAAATTCCCAGGTGATGCCAAACCTATGTTTTCACGGGTATGGAGTGGGTGGCCGTGGAGAGGGGCCCCCGCTCGAAACTTCGTCGCGATTCAAGTAATTACAGGAGAGCGCCCGAAACATCCTGCCCGATTGGCTCAGGAAAGAAACTCCCGCTCAAGATTTCGTGTGGACTCAACCTCCGAATCTCCCAATTGCCGCATCGGATTACCAACGCGACGCGGGGGCCCCAAAGGGAAAGGGCTACCGCTCAAGACGTCCTCGCGATTCACTCACAGACGAGGTTCCCGTTCGAGACTTCTGCACATTTCATTACAAACGAGGCTCCCGCTCGAGACATCCTCGGGGCTCAATATCCTGGTTACGCCAAACCTGTGCTTCCAAAGGTATCGTCGATGGCCGCCTCTCATCAAAAACATGCGGCTCTGCTCATTTCGCACCACCAGAGATGCGAAGCATATCCGACAGCACTGAAGGGCCTGTGAGCGGGCCAACGAGCACATAGTGATAATAGGCATTGGCATGCGCGTCGAGACCCCCAACCCCAAGATTGGAACTGGCCACAGGCAAACGCGAAGCGCTGAAAGAGAAGATTGTACACATGCTCTACGAAGAGTTGTGGACACGGTCGTGCAACAAGCATATTGAATGTTCTAGTTTTCCGCCGAGATGCTCCTGTTTTCTAACAGTAGCGGAGCAATTGCCTGTTTGCATTACACATCTACAAACATGAACGAGCGATAGGCATCCGAGCGCTAACATTGCAGCGTTCTTCTGCCACGGGGTTCCATACTGACAAAAGCTGGCTGTGTAAGTTTCAGCCCCGAGACGCCTCAAAGAATGAAACGGTCGAGTCAGCCAGACCCTCGAAGTCACTGGGTTTTCGATGACCACGCGAATCCGAGCTTCCCAGCACAGACGAGCGAGGGCCGCTGAGGCCCGCAGCAAGGCGTTCCCGAGACGGACCTTCTTGGTATCCTTTTCGTTGAGGCCGGGGACACCGAGCAACCCTGGGCCCGAATCCCGGAGGGGGGGGCCAGCCCCTTCCCTCCGGGCTGCGCACCGGGCGGCGCAAGGGGTTCCCAGCCAGGCAAGGCGACTAGCTGGGTTACACGCAAGCGAAACGAGGGCGTGCCAGGCGTCAGCCCTATGGATGTCTCGGTCTGGGGCACGCGCAACATCGAAGGCAAACACGGTGAAGCCTCGGTTCGCGAGCTCGCGCGAGAGGCTGCGGCAACCAGCGAAGACCTCGACGAAGTGACCTCGGCGGCGGCGGGCGCCCGGCGGCGGCTCAAAGCACCCGCAGGGGCGGCTGGCCGGCTGCCTGTCGCCGCGAGCGCCCTCTCGCGCGCCTCGCGAGGCAGCCGCGCCTCCTCGCGCTGCAGCCAGGCCGCCGCCTCGCACCTTCGCATGGAGGCGCCCGCGCCCCAGCGGCACCTCTGATTCACCTCCAGCGGCGTTCGCCGGTTGCCCCTTCTGTCCTCTGGAGTGCCGCCGTGACGGAGCTGGCAGAGAACGTGGGTCTTCTCCAATTTCATCTCCGCCTGGGCCGCCTTGAAGAGGGCGTTGAACCACGGCATCGTGAACGGGAAGATCCAAGCTCCCGCGGTCATCCGCACTGCCAAGAGGAGGTCCTGACCGACGAAGGCTCGACGGGGATGGTCTACCAACAAGCACTCGTTGGCCGCCATCGTCTTCGAGGTCTGGCCTCTTTCCTCGGGGTGGAAGTTGATCGCCACGAACGCGGAGGTAGGGAACGACGGCGCCACCACGTCGGCCACGTGCAGGTTCAGCCCCTCGGATGGCCCCAAGTAGCACGCGATGCAAAGCACCACCAGCAGCGCCGCCAGCGGCCCCCCCCCCCCAGTCGACCATCACCTGCGCCACCAGAGCCGCGACAATCCACGGCATGGGCGGCCTCGTCGTCGCTGGGTGGAGCCTCGCCCAGGCCTGGAGGCCTCGGCGGGCGCGCGGCAGCGAGGCACCTTCGCGGCCCGCCAGAAGGCACGTCGCCTGCCAGGCCGCGCCGCTGCCGCTGCCCCGCGGAGCAGTCGTCGCCGTCGGCGCGCATCTCTTGGACCAGCTCCGCCACGACAACACCCGCTGATTCGAGCGAGGTGATTGTCACGGCCTCGCGGAGGCAGAACGCACGCAGCCTCCTCGGGGCACCGAGGTAGCAGGGCCACGAGGCCGCCTTCACGGCCGCCAGCGCCAGGTCGGCGGCGACGCCCAAGCCAAAGAGGAGCGCTGTTTGCTTTGATCAGAGCCCACGAGCCTCGGAGACGAGACTCGCTCAGGTCACAGGTTCACAGAGCGATCCACGACTCGCCAAAAGCGAGACTGCGGAAATCCCACACGGGATGCTAGCAGGCAAACGTCTCAATACGGGGAGCGCAGCTCCACGATTCAAGAAGTTACCAACTCAAGTGGGACATGCATCACGCTGACACGTAGTAAATTTGCGAGGCGCGAGATCCACTGTCCCAATACCAGCGCGATGCCAGCCGACAGGCGGACCAGACATAAGAAAGGATGAATGAAAGAGCGGCACACAAGTACCCTCTTCGAACGCAGTCCCACATCGGCTGCACCACATCGAACAACTGCTCCTAGAGTTCCACTGCCCCTTGCCGAATGTCATCGGACATCCACTCGCACTCAGTCATGGACCCGACGTTTTGGCACATCGAAGGCAAGTTCCCACAGAGGACAGGCTCGGCCCACGAGTCTACAAAAATATCCATATGAAGCTCAGAGCAAAGGAGGAAAGCCAACACGAAATCAGCAACCCAAGAACCCTGCGCTTGAGCGAACTCACCATCACTCGAGCTGTCGTCCTCGGATTCCTCGGATTTCAATGGAAGCAATCCCACGTACGAGCGAAACATTTCCCCTGTAACATGGGGCCGAGGGAGAAGATTGGCCACATCGTTCGACGCCTTTGGCACTGATCCTGTCGCAGCTCTAGCGCCATTTGAACTTCCAGCACGCCCCGAGGGAGAACTGCCGAAAGCTGAACTACGAGCAGCGGGATCTTTGAGAAGAACTGCCAATCTATGAAAAGAACTGCCGAAATCCGAACTACGGGACGAACTATGAGAAGAATTGGCGGAAGCTGAACTATGAGAAGAACCGCCGAAAGCTGAATTATCAGCCTGAACCGATCGCTTGAACGAGTACCGCTTCATTCTCAAGGGACACGAAGGGATCGAAACCTTACAGGCGGGGGGGCAAACCGGATGACATCGACAACGAAGGATCAGGATGAGCAATAGTAATTGAGTCAGTAACCACTCCCTGGGGAACCAAATGTTTGATGTCCAATGTCTTCGAAATCAAAGCGGACCTTCTTCCCAAACTTCACAAGCACATCTTCAGCCCCACCCACAGCTCGAGCCCCAGAATCGGAATCTGAATGAGAACTCGCCCCAGCATCTGGATTGCGCGGTCCATTCGCAGCGAACTTCGGAGCAACGACAGGCGACGGGGAGGGCGAGGCGTCAACTTGGGTGTCCTCTGCAAAGGTAACACGAGGGAGCGGCCATCCCGGCATCGCGAAATCTGTCTCGACCTGACTATAAGTCGCAAGGCGGACCCTTCGCACCTTTCGTCGGCTCGCCCGAGAGGAAGAAACGGGAATGCGGGGCAGCAGCGGAATACTATCAGGCACATGCGCAGGCACAGACACGAGATCCTGCAAGAATACAGACATCGATTCGGCAAGTGGGGCGCCCCACAAGGGAGGGGCGCACGCACAGCACAAGCAGAAACTCGTCCAATTGGAAAAGAGACAACGAAGAAGAAATAATACAACACGATCAGCACACACAATGAGCAAAAC